TCAAGACGTAACATGTTACTAAAACATGTCATGTCAAAATGCCTGAATTCATGCGTTTCATTGAAGGGTCAAAGTTTTAATGATTTTTAAGCTATGTTGGTAAATTGGTTTATATATCTACATGCACCATCCTGTGAGTGAAAACAAATTCCATGGCATTTCGACAAAGGGCCTCTTCTTCATCAAGCGTTCCCTAGCGATCATTGATTAGTTGCTATATATGGCAATCCTAACTCCTCAAGACAAAGTACATACAGATTTACGGGAAGGGACGAGAGAATTTTTGTAGCTTCAATCATCATCACAAGCCAAGCAGCAAGTTGTTTGGTTTCGGTGGAGTACTTAAGCTTTTGTCCAGAGAAGATACCTTTCTTTTTTATATAGTAGCAACTAAGACTGCTGGGGCAACTATCATTTATCACTACCAACTTGTGAAAAGTGGTGACTGACTCCTAAGAGCCAGTTTGTATGATATTTATCACAACACCCAGGGACGGATCAATAAATGCTTCGAGCGACACAATACTTGCCGTAATGTAGCCTGGTTTTGGGTCTGTATCATCACCCGCTTGAAAAGCTATTGACTTTAATTAGTTTCAATATTGCGAATACATCTGACCACTCGTATCATAACGTATTATTACAAGCTAGAGTTCCAATTCATTCAGATGAAAATGTTTAAAATGCAGAAACTAATTATACTATATTAGACTAATTAAAGTTCCTATTCAGTGTTTAGTCTGACCTTATTAAGATTGTAGTACTAGTAGCCATAAAATGTTTAAAATGCAGAAACTTGTTTCTCAATCATCAAAGCATAGTGATTTAAAACAGAATATGAACCGTATACAAGCCAACCATATCCCTCATGACCAGTTATTGTCAAAATAAGAATATGGCTTCAATTCAAAATTTCATTCCTCCGTGGGCTACTCCGAGAGAACCTGAAGGAGGTTTCAATGAGCTTTAGAGAGCTGAACAGAAATAGCACTGTTTACGACGAAACATCCAGCATATGGCGAAAAGATCATCCAACAAGAGTTGTATGAGGCTAATGACATCAATATTGACACCAATCAGATGCTTACTTAACCAGAATCAAAAGATCATTACAACGAAGCTTTTTTAGTTTTTGGTTGCTTGCTTTAAAGCGCACCAAACATGTAAGTATCATGCTTTAATGCCTTGCTTAAAAAAGATAAAATGAAGAAAAATAGTGAATCTCTCTAATATCCTCAACAAATCTCCCACCTTCCGGAACCAGAAAGCCTCTAACAAAAGTTCATCTTTCCTAACTTTTTTTTTTTTGGTTCTAATTATTCCAATTTTGCGTCCGCCATACCTATAAACTTCCTACATTAAGAATATTATTTTTAACGAATTTGGGATTCAGGATTATGAACATCTCTACGTCAACCAAGGAATATGATGATATACCCCCCGAGTTTTACCCGGTCCTAGGCTTGAGTTGGCCCATGAACTTCTCCTGTTCAGTAAGTGCGTGGCGAAAATGGCATCGATGGCCATAGGGACAGACATCGCCTGCAAGGACCATCCTGCAGACCTCAGTCTTGTAGCGAGGGTGGCGGATTACAGGGCGGAGCTCTTCAATGCCGTGAGCAAACTGACAGTGGTCACCATATGGACAGGCACCAGTCTCTTGCCATTTGTTGCAGAGTTCAGTCTTGAACATGCCTTGGTTATACACCTCCAGTTCAAGTGGCTCTTCCTCTTTCTTCCCTCCTTGCACGTACACCTTCTGCTGCACATTCACCTAAAGGATTAGTCAGCCCTTCCATGAAGATGAACAGGAACCAACTGTAAACCTACTACTATTATCATAACCATATTTTCAAACCACACATTCTTCCCGTGGCAACAAGCAAATATTCAAATCTGACACGTCTTAGCCAATCCCTTGTTTCATTAGATTTCGGTTTACAGGGCAAATTGAAGCCTGGTTACTCGTTTAACTATCTAAACGAAGAAATTATCATCTTACACAGCTTAAATAGAGGCCAATCAATTCTTCTCGCTCTATCAAAAGTCAAAGTCCGTTGAACTAGGTTCTCCCAAAGGCCCTAATAGTACTAAGGAAAAAGGAAGGAAAGTCTCCCCTCATATAATTGGACTCGTCGTCAACCATAAGCTTAGTTAGTTTGTTGCTTCCTTCCAAAGCCAAATACTAACCAAGGCATTCATTAAATAAACAAGACCAAACAAAATAAAAGTAAAATGTTATTATGTTTAAAAAGCAAGTGATAAAAATATATTACTCTAGAAATGAAAATATAGCAATTACGAATTTTGCGATCTCAACAGAGTCAGATTAAAAACAAAAAAGAAAGAAAGAAAGAAACTCACCGCTCCACTGAGTTGAGTGGCATTTCCAGGCCTAGTTGGCCCCCGAGTTTTACCACGATGACTCGCTCCAGCTTGACTCATCATCTTCAGATATCCTTCGACCTAACTGATATGCTCTTTGGCAACATAACCCTCTCCACATCCCCCGCACCTTCCATCACGCTCGTCGGACTCTCATCACAACCTCTTCCTCTCCTACGCCGCCATCGCCTAGACAAAGCCCTCGTAACGCATTCACCAACTCGAACGGCGTCGTGTTGTAATCCGACGATGCGAAGGTGTTCTGCACAGAGGCTTGAATCAGAGCACTGAGTTGCTTGTTGAGATCGCGGTTGACAGATCGCAGAGCGGTATTCTCATGGCGGAGTGCTTCCGCTTCTTTTGCAGCATCGCGGAGGCGAGTGAGGCAGAGGTTGTGGCGGTTTATCATATCTTGGTGCTGTTGCATGAGAAGGCGGGGATGGTAGAGCGCGGAAAAGAGAGGCGGCGGCAGAAGAGGAGGAGGTGGTGAGGAAGAGTAAATGTCATCGCTCTGGAGATCGTGCGATTGTTTGGCTGCGAGGTCGCCATATACAGCTGAGCCTTTGTCGTTTTGCATTTGCGAATGAAGCTCGAAAAAGCACTTAGAGAAAGCAGAAAAATTACACAAAAATTAGTTGATATCGAATCAAAGCACGAAAAACAAACAGGATTTAGTGAGTAAAACTTATTGAAATCGATGAAAGTCGGCGTTCACCTGAACCTTTGAAACACAGAACCTCGGCTTTCCTTTAGAGCAGCCACAGAGAGAGAGAGACTTCTGCTTGTTTTGTTTGGAGAGGAGACAAAGGGAGAGAGGGAATATGAGGAACGGAGGAAGTAAGAAGAGTGGGTTTATAGAAGAAAGAAATGGAGGGAAAAAGGCGGGCCACAGTGAAGTGAAGGCAAAGAAAGAGAAAAAGGATAAAACAATAAAAAGGAATTCTGGAAAACCGTTTGAAAACAATCACATAACAGAATTACCCCTGTCCACTTCAAACGCCTTTTTTACTCAGTTCGCCCCTCCATTATCACACTGTTAAGGGCATTTAAGTCATTCAATAAATCTAATTGTCTGTGCTCGAAGATGAAGCGTCGTTGAATGATGCGGGCCGTTCGATATCGATCAAGTTAATTTAGTTTAGACGGTGCCAAGCTAATTTGGCGATAACACTGAAGTACTTTAGACAAATTCACCGGATAGAAAGTCCTGTTCACATTTGTGGTGATAGCAATCACATTTGCATGCACCGAGCATAAAAGAACATTTGCAGCAAGGCAAGATTTGGATCGTTGTCAAATGACGTGAATATCCTCGTTGTTGAATCGTATCTACCAGGATACCCCTTCCAGATTACCACGTCAGACCCGAATCCTTCTCCCCTGAAATTTTGAGATGAAGCCGAAACTGTCCCAGCCTAGACTAGGGGTGGCGATCATGAGATCATGATCGTTTAGATCTAACGGTTAGTATCATTTTCTCAACTTGTAGGACCCATTGAATTAATAAAAATGGCAGGTTGTGGCAAAAATTCAAATCATAAATAAATAAATCTAATATAAACATAAGGGACCCCAATATTGCTGATCTTAAATGAAAGGAATTCCGATTAAGCTAATTATCAATAATTTTTTTCCCTGTTCTTTTTTTAAAGGACGTTTTCAGTTTGTAAAAAGAAACAAAAATATTAGGTCAACAAACAGCTTAAGCTACATGAAGTGCAAGGCCCGGTTGCGGTTAGAGATTGTGTTTGATAATACAATTTGCTTGGAATTGAAGTTAATTGAGAGAGTGGAGGGTGGTGGTTTTGTGTGTGTGTGTGTGTTGGGAGAGGGTGGAGGTGTCATACAAAATTTTCAAGTCATGAAGTGAGATTAAGACACACACGGCATTTGGGCAGAGGAAAGCCATCATGTTTTGCTTCTTTTTCACAATTATAACTACCTCTTTTTGTCCAATTGTTCTCCTATCAGATCTAACTTTCAAGTTGTTTGGTGAATTAACACATTAAAACCCTTTTGGGCTATTGTCACGGTTGTTAAGTTAGCCATACATTTCTTCCAAATATAACCTCTCTGCAATTAACATTTTAGGTTTCTCTTTCATTTTCATTTCAGTTAGGCCATGCTGTGCTTTAGCACCTTGCCCACGTAGCTGTTGCTCGGGATTTATCAGGGCAAAGGGCTCAACAGATGAGGATTGAGGATGGTCTTTCCAAATCACTCTCCCTACGTTCCAATTATGAGCGTGGTCCATTCCATGTTTTATTCATCAACCTTACTAACTTGACGAACGATATGTGGCATGATCTCTTCTTTCACATCAAAAGTTGGTGCTCTAAGTAATTTTTTTCCTAATTCTTTTTAATGAAGACAAGCATCAAATCTCAAATTTTATATTTCCTAACAATTATAATCAAAATCATACATTGCACCCTCACATTTGACCTATTAATCAGTGCATGATCCCTTACTTAAAAAGTAAGATTCGAACCTCTATACATTCGGATGGTTTTCACCATATACTTGCATACACATTAAAAAACCACTTGCATCAGCAGATCTTTTAAATCATTGCAACTAACAACAGATGCATATATTTTCTGGTGTTTGTTAAGGAAAGTATTACTTCAACGACAATTAACAGACATCAACTTCCACATGAGGAGATGCTATATCTAGACTCAAAACTTTCATACGTGTGACAACTTAGGTTTAGAAACTTTTCCAGCAATATCTTCTGTGCAACGTGCATGGATGACTTTCATGAATACCAAAGACCTTAATTTTATTGTTTCTGTTAGGATCAAAACTATAAATACATGGGAGAGAAAGAATTGATTGAATTTGAATATATCTGGAACTGATAATATGTACAAGACATAAACGAAGGAACTACTTAATAACTCCTTGTCCCATTGGCATTATCAGAATCATAGTCCTCCATCTTAGGAAATCGTCCTTTTACCCTCTTCCGTACATCGGTTCTAGCTTTCCGAGATGCAGAACGAATTTGTCTTTCATGCCTAATCATAGATGATGCTTCTGATGTAAGAAAGAGTAAATCATATACAAAAGTAGCTAATTGGGCAAGAAATTTCTATAGACATATGCATGCACATGCACCTGTTTGCAACGCATACACACTTTTTTTTGTACAAAACTTGAAGCTTGAAAACACTAGGTAGATCACTTTTAATTCATTGTGAACTTTCAATAGAAATTGGGAGTAACACACTGGTATATATTTGTCTCTACTGAACTGAAAGCTTCACAGCCCCCAAATGCTTGTTCTGTAAATACTTTAAAATATTTAAAGGCAATCCAATGGAATGTTTGAAATTTTTCAGGTTCAAACTTGCTATTATTTCTCAAGATTAGCACATATAAGTGCAGTTGATGTGCTGGTGATTTTACCTTCTTATAATATCATAAAGCTACAAACCTTATGAAGCATGCCAGTGTGATCAAGAGGTTATCTTGCGGTATAAAATTGTGGTAATCTATATATCTGGATTCACTTGCTCAAGAGTTGGGTTTTGAATTTTTTCTTTTTGAAATGCTCAGGTTGTAAAAAACCAGAATTTATTCTTTTTTATTTCGATCAGGCGCACCAATTTTTAAGAACTAGAGATAAAAATAAAATCCACTGAACTTGTTCAAAACAGTGGTAGACTATAAACCCAGCAAGAAAAGAGAAACCTTATACTCACAGTCGGGCCTTCTTCTTCTCTTTATACCTCAGCATGGCATTTTCTCTGGCTTCTGAATGCAAGCTGTCTAAGTCAGGTGAAAAGTATGATGCTTCCACCTGTGTGATTGGTGAAAGTCCACTATCAGGGCAGTCAGTACCACTGCTTTCAGCACTAAACCTTGAAACAGAGAAGGACATTGTTGAATAAGATGGTCGAATCGGGCGAGGAGAATCACTGATCCCCTGGAAGTTATGAATGTGGTTAGAAGGATCCATATTATTTTCTGTATGAGCAGACTGATTGATGTAAATAGATGAGGCCACAGAAGCATCCTGGCACGAAAGGAACATAACAAACAAAAGATTTAAAGGAACTTCAAATTATTCTGCTTTAGTTTCAACTTTCCACATCCAAAGCAAAGTGTATAAGTTGTTTAAAAGAATGTAAACTTGATATCTAAGTTCACGATAACTTAAAGATAAGGGGAAGTCATCAATATGAACACACAGTGGCGAGATTATTTTCCACAATATATATATATATATATAGAGAGAGAGAGAGAGAGACCTGTGTGGAATTAATAACCTTGTAAGACAAATACCGATATCTCAATGTTGCTTGTTTAAAAGACTATCTATAGTCTATTGTAGGAGTATAACTGGAGTAATTGTTGTTTAATGGAGGTATTTGTCTTTCCTTTCAGTTTAACTTGATGCCTGACCTGGAGAGCTCTAAAAATAATATCTAAAGTTTACTAATAGCAGGATAAGAATGATGCAACTTATTTTATCTGCACTTTCTTTGTATATATATTTTAAAATTCTTCAGCGTCATTCATATGCAAATATGTCTTTAAAAACTGCATTTGAAGCTTCTAATGCCTTTATAAAGCCTCCTAGGTAATATCTGTATGTAAAGGATGCGATCATAAGATGCAAAAGAGTGCCATGATCCTAACCTTCACTGGTCTTGCATTACCAATATCTGATTTGTTGAAGGACATATCCTTGTCCACAGATGAGCAAGAAACATCTTTATCATCAAGCAGTGCCCTGATTGGATCTTGATCAGCACCAAAAAGGTCTTCAAAATTGGGGAATGTTAATTCCATATCAGGCATGTTAAAATCATCTTCGCAAAAAATGTCTTCACAAACTCCAAGGTCTTGCATATTTTGAGACCACAACTGCAAATTCGATTGATAAACACAAAGCACTTTTGTATTAAGATCATGCTCAAAACTAACTCTTGTAGGAACTCATAAAATATACTCCTTACTGTTATAAAAACAGGAAAATCTTTCTCTGTAGATGTATAAGATAAAAACCACTGATTAGAAACATGAAACGAAATAAAAAAACTGTGGCATGACAAGATTTAAACCAAAATCAACTCTATAACAACTTTGTGGCTATTTATTGTACAATAAGGAAGTTACAACGCTGCTTTTTATGAAAATCACATTATAATATTTCTGTTTCTACAATTGGAAGTCAGAGTTTTATCCCTAAATTTATGTGTTACTCTCGCAGCCAGAAAAAAGCAGTGGTTATCTCTTGTGTTTATGTTATCATACTCTTAAATTCTTGTTGCTTTCAGGAAACCATTTTCACATGCTCAATTATATTGTTATGATGGTAACATGGGAAATGCCAAATGTCCATGGCATTAAGAGATAGCCAAAGCAGTTGCAATTGGCTACTAATTAACATCAAAATCAGAAATAATTAGGATTTACAGTCACTGCCAGAAAGCATGAAACTAAATGTTAAACGGAAAAGCAATAATTTTTCTATAATGGTTATTCTCCAAAGCGATAGAAGGAGCTTTAATGGTCTATTTCTATTTTTTTCCCCTTCCCCAATAGTTTCCAGCTTCGGGAAACAACTTATTGATGTCTGTTGCTCGCAGTCCACTTTTGCGTTTATCAGAAGTCACTCATCAACAAAAGCCTGCATCTGGGTGAATAGATAAAGGTCCAATGGCTGGGGCAAATTTATTAATTATAGCTTGCAGTCAACATAACTGCAATTTATCCTGGGTTTAGAAAATTGTTTCAAGTGATCACATGTGAGCTAACTAACTTACTAACATGATATGAAAAGACAAAAGCAGAAATGGATTGGGGTAAATGGCTACAAGAGAGCATAAAAATAAAATAGCTTAGCACTAGTCAAATACCCTGTGCACGATAAAGAAGACTTCTTTCTATCCTCAAGGCACTCCTGCAGTCTATCAATGATGGATGAAATTTGAACATATGACTAGTGGTCTACAATTAACAATAAATTTTGATGACTTCTGATTGATGGGCAAACCTGACTACCATGAATTGGACTTTTGCATTGCCAAAAAGATTCTCCATACAAAGGAATCCCAGAAGTGGAAGATGATGCTAGATTCTCCAGATGAGAAAATGACAAGGGGAGAGGATCTGCATTCTGCTCCTGGATTGGATTGTTACTTTGGTGGAGATTGATGCCAATGTCGTGGACTCGATTACTATCAAGGTTTTGTGAAAAGTTGCATTTTGAAGAAGATGTGACAGCTTGTTCTTGGCCACCAATAGAAGGCAAATGACTATCTCTCTCAGTGAGCTGAAGCTTTTTCAGGTCAAGAATCTGTTGCAAAATAAAGGAAGTGTTTTGCTGCTGTTGACCTTTGTTAATAACCTGCAATAACAAGGACACACTAAGAAGAGTAATAAGCTCTTCAGCCCTCAGGAATCATGAAGTGAATGTTATTAATCTATAAATCTTTATTAAATACCCTGAATAGCTGGAGGTTAATTTACTACAATAGGAAACTCTTGAAGTCAACAAGAACTCCAAGTTTCGGCTGACTTAATTATTATCATGGTTTAAACCAGCCGACCCATTTCAAAACCACTGATCGAAAAATACTTTAAGGTGATTTACCTAGAAACATATCTGAGGAAGAAACAAACGATCTATTCCACAAAAAATAAAAGTGGATCAAACACTTTAAAAATGAAAAGACCACCATGTGGTAGAAAAAAAAAAGACTGGAAAATGAAGAGGATAATAGTTGAAAAAGCATGAAAAAAATATATATTACTATTGGGTTGAACATTTCAGGCATATGACCTATCAAGTATGCATAGGTCTTTTGCTACTGGTATGTATTTGAAAGTGAAGCCCTATCACCATCAGCTAAGCAGCACCAGAATATCTTTCGAATAATTAGTTCAAGTAGGTTAGCAGAAAATGAGTGACATTAAAAAGGATTCAATGAACATGTTCATATATCACTGCATGACATTGCTTTAAATGATTCTGATTAAAGTGGCATATCAAAAGCAATTAGTAGGTAACCTGAGCAAATAGCTTCACCCTTCTAACATGCGTGAAATTAAAAATTAAAACTCATAGTCTGATACACTGGTCTAGCATTAAGGATGATTTGATATATTTACAAAATGACGTAATCTACAACATAGAAATTTTAGACAAAACTCGACTAGAAGATGAATTTTTTACCATGATAATGCTAAAACACATAAACCTTTAATAGGTAGGAACTTTATGAAATTTAGGATCTCTTCCAATATTTGGGATAGCTCACTGTGGCTTACATAAGCTTGCTGCATATTGCTGACATCATATTGAGGATAAACTCCAAGTTGTCTCTAAAAACATCAACATGCATGCATAACCATAGCTGATAAAAAATAGAGCAGTTAAGGAGCATATTGACAAATTGCATAGATCTACTTAAGAACAAGTAACCATGCCAACCTTGGTCTGTTGACTGTTTGATCCAACATTACATCCTGCAGCAGGGGCTAAAGTCACACAGGATTTACTTGAAGAGACTCCTATTTGGGAACAAGACTGTCCTAAATCATCCAGTTTGACCACATCGGGATTCACCGAAACACATGAATTGGATAAAGACTGATCTTGAATAGCATTGTTTTCCAGCTCATTCAATTCAAAACCCCACAATGCTGCAAAATCCTTAGCTGAAGGGCACCCCAAATAACTACTAACTGCACGTCTCTGGTGCCGGGAAGAAGCACCATGGAAAGTTCGGTCACAACCACGACACAAGAACATCTGGTGATCCAAACACCGAACATAAGATGGGCGGTATCTGCATGAGTCACATAGGAGGGTACGAAGATGCCTGTTGGAAAGTGCATTGGCTGAATGGACCTTTGCATCACAGGAAAGGCACAGATGCGCTGCATCAGCCTTGCAATAAACAACTGGTCCTGAAGTTGTGCAGAATTCACAGATTTTCTCCATTTCAAAGTAAAATCCAAATTCCAAAGTGTCTTCTGGTATATATTCAATATGACTTCAAATCTATGAACTTGATTATTGACATAAAGATACTGTTCATTGAAGAACCAATCTCCTGATCCACTTTCCAGGATCTACAAAAATTCAGGATAAATACTAAGACATGTAAATAATTGAATATCTGATCTAAAGACCTAAGGCACCTTTCTATATGGAAGTTTCAAATTCAATAACCCAAAAGACCAGCAGGCAGGGGTTGAGATAATTCTAATTTATGGTTATCCCTGATAAATTTTCAAGCAAGGAACACTATTAACTACCATAAAAGCACATTTCAAGCGTCAAAAAGATCCCAACTACTTGTTGAATATGGCTATACTTTGGAAAGGCTTGCTTCCCTTCAACTTCTACAAAGCGGCAAACTTTAGACAAAAGCTAGTGGTATCCACTTTTTCTCAGTTCAACCAAAGAAGCATAAAACTTGCCACTCAACGAGAAAAACGGGTCTGATCCTAGCTTTCCTCATAGGTTTGAACTGTAGCACTTTTTCTTTGCACTAAAAAAAAAAAAAACACAACTAGTTTTATCTCTTTGTTTTTTTTATAAAAAAAAGAAAAAAATTTTCTATTGATTCCAACTGCAAAATGGAAACAATAAAGATCCCCAGTCTGTAAAATTCAGCAGAAACTACTGCAATCATTCTTTTTCACGCAACTATTTTTCTTCCCTTAAGAATTCTCCCTGTCCCTCAAACAAAATCAAATCACTAAGCAAAACCACGTAATTTTTCTTTTTAAAACAACAATCAAAATACAAGAAACACAGATAAACCTCAATTTCAACTCTACAAATTTTTTTAGCTGATCAAATAAACAAAGAGATCTAAGAGGTGACGATCAAAATTTGACAAATCCAAGTCTGATACACGTACCTTGTGTTTGTTTCGCGAGAAAAGAAAAACAACTCAATTGAGAATTGCAAGAGAACTTCTGTATAAAAGAAATGGTCAGGCTTTTGAGTCTGTGCTTCCCTGCTGAATTCTCATTTATCCTCACATTTCTATTTTTTTTTTCTTTCCGTTTTGTTTTGCTCTTTCTTTCTCTCTATTCATCTATCATTGCCTTTTCGGAATGACGTGCGCGTGAACTTTATGCTGACCTGTACCAACACGTTGTTCACTCTGGGACCCACCAGCGTTATCCGTGTGCAAGTGAACCTGTTTGGCTTCAGCTCTCACGTGATCCAAAAGTTTTCCGTCAGACCAATCGTCCATTGCAACGTGGATGTACGGTTGCTATCCGATGACCTTGCGAGCTACACAGTCCGTACCATTTATTTTCCTTACTTTCAAAATTAAAAATTCATAAGCAATATTATTCTTTATCTATAATTAACTATTCAAGTTTGACTTGTCTTTAATTAAATTTGAAATCTCATTATTTTTAAATGACAATTGATTAAAATTTGAAAAAAAAAAAGTGATCCTTTATAATCTTTAAGCAAAATATTTTTATTTTTATTGCAAGGCTATTAGCAAATAACATATGTTGATTAATGATGTATCGTAACTTTAATGGTGAAACCTTATATTTTTGTTGAATTTTGAAATGCTGATAATAATTTGAAATAAAACTCATTGCGAATAGCTAGTCATTAATTTCTTTTTAACCATAATTGTATTAGTTTCAATTTTTCCTATGCATTATTAATTAATGATTTAAAAAATCAATTTTGAAAAATGTTCCATATTATTAAGAATTTGACTAGAATGATAAGAAGATGAAAATTCATAAACCGTTAAATTGATTTCAATCTTTTCATGTCTTATTAAGTAATTATTTGAAAGAAATAAATCAATTTTATTTGAAAAAATGTTCATATTCTAGTAACTGTTAAATTTAGAATAATTAGATATTAAAGCATTTTATTTAACAGTTGATGCATTTTTCCTTCCATTTAAAGAGTAGAGCCTGAATTCTTCTTCTTCTATTCTTTTCTAAATAAGAAAAAATTGATAAGGGGTAAGGATATGAAAATTCATAAGATATTGTTATATTGTTTTAAATCCTTTCATTAATAATATGAATGTAATATTTTTGGAAAGCTTTTAAATCAAATATATTTAGAAAAAGCTTCATATTCTATAGACCACTAATTTTAATTAAAATCGAGTCTTCTTTTGTTAGAAATGTTAGTTCAATGAATTAAGTAACAAAAATGTCCAAGAAGGGGTGAATTAGACTTAAAAAATTTTGACAAATGAAATATGAACTACTATAGTCGACTATGGTTGTGTTTCTATCATGACCTAAATTCGAGGGTCCATGACTAGCATACACGAGCCTGATAGGCAAGCTCACGAGACTTGGAAAACCTTCAGGGTTAAGTCTTGATAAACACATATACCATATTCATAAAGCTTCGTGGCCAACATCATCTCATACCAACTTAAATCTTTTAGCATTCAACATTAACTCCTTGGCTAGCAATAACATTAAGGTGACGTTTGGTATTTTACAATGCAATGTGATTACAGGTAATGTGATTGTAAGTAACTTGGTTGCAAGTAATGTAATTGCAGGGAAAATAACATTACAATGTTTGGTATACAAGCAAAATAATAATTAAAATGCAGGAAAGATAACATTGCAACGTTTGGTTTACAAGTACTTTGCTGAGAATGTAATGTTAATTTTCAAAATTACCCATAGTTATTAAAATACAAGTTTAATATATTTATATTTTTTATTATTAATTTTTATATAATATCATCTCTTAAATATATTTTTAATGTCATATATTTTATTTTTATTTATTATTATAATTTTATACATTTTATTTTTAATATATTTATATTATTATTATTAATTTTTATGTAATATCATCTCTTAAATATATTTTTAATGTCATATATTTTATTTTCATTTATTATTATAATCTTATATATTTTATTTTCATTTTTTAATATATTTTTTATATTATATATTTTATTTTATATATTTTATTTTAATTTGTTTTACCTATATTATATAAATTTTAATTTTTTTATTTTATTTTATTTTATTTTTTATTTTTGTATTATATATTTTATTTTAATTATAACATTATAAAATATTTTATATAAGGTGATAAAGTTGAAAGGTAAAATTATCTTTAAGAACATTGCAGAGTGCAATATAATGTGATTGCATTGGTTTTAGACTACAATCACATTACATCCCTTGCCTGTAATGTGATTGCATTGCAATCTTACATTGCAGTGGTCTGATACAAAACAAACACTACAATGTAATTTAATTGGATACATTGCAGGGAATGTACTCTCACTTCCCTCATATCAAACACTACCTAAGGACTTAAACATAATATACACATAGCCATACATTGGCTAATTCACTAAGTCACTAAACATCTCATTACATATCATAAGGCAACTTCGTGTCATCATAGTTTCTTTATGATATACTTTATATACATAGCAGAAGCATATATAACTATGACTCGGAGTGTGACGTAGTGGAGTGTTCATCAGTGAAAAACCTATCAGCTATCAAATCGTGTGTCTGTTTAAATGGCAACGCTAGCCACCAATTTTTCCTGTCTATTTATTTGCACAATACAACTGAAATGGGTGAGTCACACTAATACTTAGTGAGTGGGAGCACAAAATAGCTATAAATGTGCAAGGATAGTTGCTACACATATCTTCTATCATGCATGCATCTCATAGATCATAATATACACGCATATAAGAAAAACAATCGTCACTTGTCAAACATAATTTGTCATATCATGGCAACCGTAGTACACTGCATATTTCTAGTTATTAACATACTAAGGTTGTATAATCATCCTCACCTTATTCATTCAACATCATTATTAGCATAACCTCTTATTAGTTTAATCTATCATATGAACCGGTCCACCATATGGTTGTCTACATACATGGCTTAGCATACATACTTTAAAGCACTCACCTTGATGTTAAATCATAACTCCTCAAGCATGTAGCACATCATAATCATATATCAATTACATATGGCTCTTACCTCAAGCCTTTGCATTAATCATCATATCATGACATCATATAACATATTTCACATATTAAAAACCTAAGGCATGCCATTATGTAGTCATCATATCATATCATATCATAGAGTGGTCTTTCCTTAAACATAGCATAGTCACATACGGTGGCCAATCGATGGACAATATACAATATCATGTCATGCCCCATTGCTATAGCAAATGATGGAGTCAAGTCACACCCCATTGCCATAGCAAACAATGGACTCAAGTCACGCTTCATTGCTGAGCAAACGACGGAGTCTTGTTACACCCCATTGTTGAGAAAACGGGAAAAATATCAAAGTCATCGTCCGAAGCAATATCTCCACGAACGGCATCACAATCTTCGTCCGAGGCAATATCCCAACAAATGGCATCTCCCAAAGTATTCTCCATAGGTGGCATTATGATCATCATTCTGAATAATCTCCCGATAGATGGCATGCACACAACAGGCAAGATTTCAACCACTACTCCTATTTACCATCGTCCTTAAGGCACAAACATAGTCATCATTGCATAGTAGGCAGGAATCACAGGTAGGATAAAACCACTATTCGTGATAGTAGAACATACATAATCATAAGGATATGGACACACTAAACCTCATAATATCCATTGTCTGGAATTCCTGCATGGACAAAACATGCATAATCAACATCATAACATCATCTGGAATCATCCATGGATGAAACATACATGCCTCACATCATATCATCATCCGAAATCATCTACGGACGAAATATACATACCTCACATCACATCATCATTCAAAATCATCTATAAACGAAATTATACATATTTCATATCATATCATCATCTGGAATCATTTACGGATAGAACATACACTTTAACACAATTATAATTCATCATACTAGTCATCATGACATACTCAATCATTTGTAATCATGCCTTATTTCTCATCTCAAACACAAAATCATTGGCATGTTAATAACTTAGCCTTGGACAATCTTTTTAGGCAATTTACATAATTCTCATAGCATTCACATGCATAGTCTAGACATAACATTTCTAGACGTATTCATCATGTACACATTAATATTGACATCATAACATTTTCAGAATTATCCACGGACAACCCATACATCATGTTATTGATATTTATTGTCACTCATGATCTCATTCATTTCATCATAATTTACTTATATCACCATCATATCACATTCTACATTCGGCCTAGGTATATCCTTTTAGGCTTATCATACATTTTCCATAACATTCACTAGTCTAAGCATAACACTTCTAGACATGTTGACCATATAAACATTCAACATAGTGCCATCATTTCCACTACATTAACTCATATTCACAACAACATCATTAGCCTAGGCATAATCCTTTTAGGCATATCACACCATTCTCACATATTTTTCTAGTCTAGGAATTCTACCTCTAGACATGCTAATAGTTCATACATAACATACATTATGCATTATCATTATTAAAGCATATATGCACAGTAGTCATTATGCTCCTATGTATAAAAGTTTCCCCACTCGCCTTGACAATTCAAAGGTTCTTTGTCAACACTGGTACTTGCAATTCACTTATGCCTTAGCTTCAATTCATGCAACTTGCTACTTGAGCATCATTCTCATTCTCATAATCATCTAGCATTAGCAATACATGAGCGTTATTATTTATGCCATAACTTTTCATTTCATAGCAAATCCTGACTTCAGATTATTTTCAACTTTTTTGAAAATAACTAAATCTTTAGCATATTAAGAAATAAAATCAAATACTTCAATAATGAGCTAATCCATACCTTAGAAGTGGGATTATGCTATTGTTTATCCCAAATATTTAGCCAACTCAAAGGGATAATTTTCCCACCAAAGCTGCATTAATTTGAATATGGGTTATCTACTGTTCAAATTGAAAATCAATCAGCTAAAGTGCTCAATCTTACCTTTAAAAGCATTCCTCAGCTCCATATTTACTCTAAACAACTCCAAGAGCTTCAAAATTTCATTCTTGAAAGCTAAGGTTTTATTTTAAAGAAAGAAA